GGTTTCAGGGATATAACAACACAACTATGACGTCAATGTACCCTCCTAGTTTTTGCAAAAACGCTCAGTTCCAAAAGGCGAAAAGGAGAAGAGTTCATCCTAATGACGAGGCAAAAGAGTCAGGGGAAGGTACAGACCCGGGAACGAGCGGATCTACGCAGCTCACGCATCCTCCGGGACGCGCAAACGGGCGCGTTACACACAACCCGCTTTGTTATTTTGTCAGCAAGTGGATGGAAATCAAACCGTAGCAAAGAGAAAAGGCCTCACTAAAAAAAAAAAAAGAAAAAGAAAAACAAAAAAAACCCAAAGCCAAAGTCCTTTCCCTTCTTCCGCGATGCCCGCTCTACCCCCGGCGCCGGAGCCACAAGCCTCTCTGTGCCGCTCTACCTTACGCTCCTTTTCTCCATTTTTTTTTAAATGGGAAGTTGCCTTTTATCTGCCCCCATCACAATCGCTAAACGAGTCATCGCTCCCGAAAAAAGCCCTGCGTGTTGCTCCTACGAGACGGGAGAAGGACAGGGGAGACAGGGCCTTCTCTAATGCCACACACGCACTCACTTGCAACACACAGATGCGCACATACGACAAGGAGGGAGGGAGGGGAAAAAAAACATTTGAAGTGCTCTCCTTCCGTACAAAACAAAAAAAAAAACAACAACAACAGTGGAGCGATTGAGGGGTAGAAAAAAACAGTCAGAAAAGACGAGAGAGCAATGAATCAGGTGTCGTATTCCTCTCCTCCCTCTCTTTCTCCGCTAGGTAATCACACAACAAGAAAACATACCTCAAAAGCCCGCTGCTGCATGTCTGCTGCGATGTGTTCTCTCTCTCTCTCTCACGCTCCCTCTCCCTCGTTCTGTGTGTGTGTGTGTGTGTGTCAGAGAGAGAGGGAGAGTGTGTGCGTGCGACTGTGTGTGTCTGTGTGTGTGTGTGCGTGCGGGAGAGACGACACACACACACACACAGGCAGCAGTGTGTAAAGACGGAGGGCAAGATCGGCTCTCGCGGTGACGCGCTCTCTCTCTCTCTCTCTCTCTCGCTTGGTCCTTCGTCCGTCCGCTCACACTCTCTCTCTCTCTCTCACTTCAGCGCTGCCTCTGACACATGATTCTCTGTTTTTGCTTTCTGTCTCTCCAGATAGAGGCCTTTTTTTTTGCTCGCTCTCGTTCCTCCTCTTCCCTCCGTCACCCTTCTCCCTCGATTCCGGCCATCTTTTGCATTTCGGAGTGCTGTCCCCAGCGGATGGTGACATGCGCACGCACCACTTTATACACACAAAGCTCAGAGATAGAGGGGAGCAGGGAGAGAGTGAGCGAGGGAGAGCAAGAGAGAGAGGGCGAGGGAAACTGAGGGAGAGCGAGAGAGAGAGAGAGAGAGAGTGAGGCAGAGCCAGAGAGAGACAGGGAGAGAGCAAGGGAGAGAGAGCGAGCGAGAGGACGCCATTTAAGCAGTTTGTTACAAGCACTGCCAGTCCCCAAAATGGCTGAAAACAAACAGGAGCTGTGCCAACAAAAAAGCCCGAGCTGGGGGGGGGGGAGGCTGGGGGGGGTGCAGACAATAGTCTGAACGGATGCGTGTGTCCCTAAATGAGCAAAGTTGTTGAAACGAGGCAGCGAGATTAAAGGAGGGCTGTAAAGTGGTGCGGAACATGCTGGAGTTTCGATTCACCCCTTTTATTGCTTCCGTAAAGCGAGCGAAGGTTTGCGGCGACTTGTGGCCGCAAAAGTCGAGCATAACTAAGTAACTGTTTCCTGTACTTGGGAGTCTCCACAGCAGCGCTGAGGGCAGCCCCCCACCCCGCAAGTGGAATACCTGGAGCAGACACCTGTTTCACCGCTATCCTGGAACCCCGCCCACCCCAGTCTCTACCCCTGGCCTGCGAGGATCCCCCACCACTGACACACACACACACACACACACACGCACTGTCCCCAGACCTGCCCCAAGATGGAACAGTGGGGGGACAAGCTATGAACTTGGAAACGGGAAGGAGGATCTGGGTCAGGAAGACACTGGGACAGGCGAGAGGGACATGGTGGGGGGCGAGGAAGAGACGGCAGAGGGGAGAATAGGGAATAGTGTGGAAAAAAAACGGGAAAGGGAATGGTTGGTGGAATTTTCTGGAACCCTCTGCCTCACACTTCCCTCCGTTCTCTTTTGCGTGTTGACTATCCCTCCCCCCCATCTACCACCAGCCCCTCCCTCCTGCCCTTTCTCTTTGTATACCCGCGCACTTGTCTCCATGGGAACTGCGTTTGGATTGGGTGTTGTTCTTATGACCTCTCCAGCTTTTAGAAGAACTTCGTGGCCATTTCCCCCCCCCTACTCTCACCTTTTTTTTTTCCTCATCAGGGGTGGGGGGGGGGGCATCCCATGGGTGAACCCATGTGCGTGAGCCGGCAGGGCGAGACATGCGTTCGCTTCACGCCGTCCTTAACCGAAAGCTATGCGCTAAACCCACTCCTGCCCCGACGCAGAAATCATCCGGCGGAAATATATCTGCCTGCAATCCACCTTTAAAGACGCAGCAGCGCATGTCGGTGGTGCGTCTCTGATGACACTCTTAGCAGAGGGGTGACATGAGCGGGCAAATAGGCACCGTCATCTCCTGACCAGCACTTTCGGGGAGAAGCAGTTTCACTGCAGCCCTGGCTGTCTGCTCTAAAACAACCGCGTTTCCCACATTGCGCTCCGTTAAGTTATGCAATCTCAATACCGTCTCACACATGTTCATGGTAGCTCATGGGCTCTGATGTTTCCAGACCAGCCTGAAGCGTCACACCACAAGGACATACATAGGCCGTAAACTAACAACTCACTTTTACATATTCGACACCAGTGAGAGTGAAACTAGCGATCTTTTTATAAAATACGGCAGCCACGTTGGGTGGCGTGTTGGCGCAGTGCTTAGTGCTGCTGCCTCACCGCAAAAATGTCCTGGGTTCGATCCTCAGATCGGGTATAGGACCTTTCTGTGTGGAGTTCACATGATCTCCCCATGTTCTTCCCACAGTCCAAAAGTGTGCGTGGTCGGTTGATTGGCGACTCTAAGTTGCCCCTGTGTGTGTATCCTGTGGTTTATCAGTGCCAGGGTTGCTTCCTGTCTGTGCCTGTTGTTCCCAGGATAGGCTCTGATGATTATATGGATGGATGGATGGGCAGCCATGTTTGATCATGCTTTGACCATGACACTATAGTCTCTACGTAAAAAAACCATAAAAGAGAGAAAAAAAAAACCGTGATCAATCTATTTACAGCTGTTCTCCATTGACCAAAAGGAGAATGATCACTATGGAAGTTGACCTGATTCACTGGGGCCTCATCTTGGGTCTTGTGCTCTGTGCTCTTGTCCTGTAACACAGGGGTGGGGACCCTGTTCCATGGAGGGCCAGTGTGGGTGCAGGTTTTTGGGATGGCCTCTCAATCAGCCAATAATAAAGCAGTGGTTCTCAAATCCAGTCCTGGGGGCCCACTGTTATTGGCTGATTGAGATGCCATCCCAAAAACCCACACACACATGCCAGTTCTCCATGGATCAGGTCACCCACCCCTACTGTAACATATACTAATGTAAATACAGGGTTAGACAATCAGTGGAGCAATTGGGGGCTAAGGGCCCTGCTTAAGGGCCCAGCAATAAAATCACTCTCCCGACTCCAGGATTCAAACCAACAACCTTCCGATCACAGGCACAGTGTCCCATGCTTACTATGTTACATACCCTGCATACATGACCCACACTTCTTCCTTGTGCTTTCTTACATTCAGGCCTTCAAGCAGCCTGTACCTAGCGCCCCTTAGTCTGCCACCCCAGGATTCCCCAGACTCCAGATCATCATGGCACCGATTGGTTAAGGAGTCATCACCTAAAATGGATAGATGGTCTGATTCAGTGGGGTGACTCATCACTTGCCATAGCCAGTGCGGGAAGGAGGCTGGGGGGGGTGGGGGCTGGCCCACGTAATAACCTTTGTAAAAGTGGGGGGGAGTATGCAGAAGCAGCTGAGCGGCCTTCCTCGGAGGTCGCAGGGTTAGTGTGACGGCTTCCCCACACTGATGCTAGACGAAAGTTCAGCCACTGTGACCTGACACTGACCTCGGAGGGACAATAAGCCAAACAAAAAACGATGCATGCATGCTCATATACTAACACTGTTTATTTTGGTCACAAACTACGACCAAATATGTGACATAAAATCACAGTTTGACTAAAGGAAAAAAAAAGCTTTAAGAAAAAGAAATCTAAAAAAACAGCCACGAAGCAATAAAATAAAACCGCAAGATTGATATCATGATATCACGCTTGTCGTCATGGTTACGCTTTATGCAATAGAATTTGTTTTTTTGACGCAATAATCTCTATTTTTGAGCTGTTTCAGTCTGATGAATTGCTGTCAAAACGCTACAGTAAAACATGTCAGATGTGATTTGACTTATAAATGATAAATGTTAAATTGAAATGCAGACATTTAAACTTCAATGATTATTTTTCATGCCGCTTCAAAACCTTTTAAAATGCATGTCAAAATTATAGTCAAACAATGAATTTAACTGAACAAATGTAATTGGTTCCTCACTTTACATCAATTCAGGCAGCCTTTCATTATAATTTTGTCAGCATCTGTAATCAATCGTCTAATATTTCCTTAACAAATTAAATCTGTCAAAAAGAGCTTTACCTTCTTGGTTAAAATTACCTTTTAAAATAAATGACTCATTAAGAGAAAGAAAACATTTACACGTAATGGTAGCCTGTTATGTCAGATACTTGAAAATAACCAAATAACATGTTTAAAATGTTTATCCTGTCATATAATGGTCATGTGATACATTCTGTGTCATTGGGTTCTTCAAAAATGACAAAATCATTGATAAGCACTCAAATATATTTTTAGCATTGGTTAATTTGTTGTTAAATATATTTATTTCTGAGCATAACTAAAAGATTTAATGAATTTCAGTGAGGTTTGGTCTTCAGCCACCTGTGACAAGAAACACAAGATTAGAATGTTTCCCACCACGTCAAAATTATAAAATATTGCCCAGCACGAAAAAAAATGGTCAACAAACACATTTGTTAAATACGTTTGTTGTCCCTTTTTAGCTCTTGTGCTGTAAATTTGTGACACATAATAACACCGTAAAATGTTATTTAACTACTGTAACTGACAACAACACATTGGAAAATTTATATCTACATTAATAAAATAACATTTACCCTTTCCGTTGAAAATTAATTTAATGTAAAAGATGACGGTTTTCATTAAAGATCATATCTGTCGAAGGGAATGATTGTGATATTAGCAAGCTGCCGTGCAAGTTTAGAAGATAGCACCTGGAGCATGTTACCCAGCACGCACACACACGCACGCACACACACAAGCACACGCACACACACACACCTTTGTATTAATATCTCTGTGGGGACCAACCATTAATTTCTATGGGAAAATCCCTAATCCAACAATGACAAGCTTAACCCCTACCCAGTCCTAACCTTAACCATAAGCAACCAAACAAAATAGACTTTTGACATTTCTAGTATTTTGATTACAATCATAGATTTTTATAAAATTGAGTTTCCCTTTGTGGGGACTGGGAAGATGGTCCCCACAATGTCAACATAACAGGTTTTTATCACGTTGCCAGGACATTTGGTCCCCATGATGTAATATATTCATGACCCACACACACACACACACAGATGCTCACTTGCTCACTCGCACACGTACGCAAGCAGATCCCCAGGCCTTATGAGACCCGTTACATTATTTATACGAGTCACCCGAGCAGCTGGACCTCGTACCCCAGTCTATAACTGACCACGCAGGGTCCACTTAACCACCGCTGTTTATCAGTCTGAATTCCAGTATTAAAACTAATGCTAATGGATGAAATGCTCTTGAGTGGCGGGTCTGTGGTATGATTTGGCGAAAGCGGCGCCCCGAACTCCCCTCGTGGCAGAAATGCTTTAGGAGCGGCGTAACACCGATGTGGTAGCAGAGAGACACCGTGTCGCAGCGGAAAGCAGCATCCGGAGGGGATGGGATTTGAGGCCGGAGAAGAAAATCATATTCAAGCAGAGGGATGGAGTTTATCAAACGGCAGACAAACTGTGAAGGGGTAGCAAATAAATGAGGGAGGTGGGGGGGCATCAGAGATGTGACAAGGCAAACAGGCAGCAAGCGATTGAGGGATCCGAATAGGGAAAAGGGGAGCAAGTACTGGCGGTACTGGAGATCACGCGGAGGCCAAAATCAGGGAAGGAGAAGGGGGCTGGGGGGA